GGCCTGAGGCGCGTCCCGCCCGGCCCGGCCCGGCCCGGCCCGGCCCGGCCCGCCGAGCTGCGGGAGCCGCCAGAGGCCCGTCGAGAAGGCGTTAGAGAAGCGCTTTTGCGTTAAAATCAGACGCACGGGAAGGGAAAGACACAGCTCCGCTTTGCTTGACTGTTTCCCCCCGAGATGTTGCTGCAAAAGGGGTTCAGGGAAGGCGTTTTGGCAAAGAAGAGGAACACGACAACTGCCCCGGACCTTCACCGACACTGGGAGCTGCGCTGCTTTTCTTACTGAAATCACACGTCCCTCTGGTACAGCTGAGGGGGGACTCACAGCATGACCTGTGCTCAGGTGCAGCCTGCAAGCCAGCAACCTCTGAGAAGGTGCTGTGAATCAAGCCCGTCTCCCCCACGAGGTGTGTCAGGAGGCCTGTCAGGCTGTTTGGGGCTGCTGTGCCTGACATGCTCACATGGGCAGCAGGGGCCAGAGGCTTCCTCAACCGAAACGGCAGAGCAGGTCTGTGCTACGCATCAGTGAACTAAACCAGCACAAAACAGCTTCGTTAAACACGTTATTTAACTCTGGTGGTGCAGATACCTGCACAGGACATGTCAGAGCACCCCTGGCAGTCTTGCCCTGTGCCACGTGCCAGCTGCGGATGAACCAAGAGCAGTGCTGCTGACCTACTTCAGGTGGGAGCTATGAGAGATTAGCAATGCTGTGATGTATTCTGGCAGCCTCAAAGTAGGTAAAGGGCCTCAAAGTAGGCACTGATCAATACCCCAGGGCACAAAGCTACAAAGGTCTTTCTGATTCAGAAGTGTCAGCCTTTACTGAAGCACAGTAGTGACCCTACCAGCTGCTCTATGTAGCGAGTCGTATGTAATTAATAACTCAAGAGCCAATTTAGAGTTTGGGACAAAGAATCAGCTGCTTTTTTTTTGGCAACTGAGAACAGTTTTAGGCAGTCATGGTTCAGCTGTCTGGAGCAAGGGCCTGGCTCACGAGGGGGCAGCATCCAACCATTTTGTTTAAGAAACCGTCAATCATCTGGTCCACAGTTGAAAGGAAATGGCAGGAAATCAAATTGCTCAAGAGAAAGTTTTGTAGAACTAACATCACCTCCTAGTGCAGGTCTGATTGTTGTTTTTTTTTCCACTCTATTAATATTTGAAAAGACATGAAACAGGAATTACTATCACTTTAGTAAATGGATTGACAACTTGTCCAGTATCACTGCTGTAAAAAAGCAAAAACAAGCAAACAAAAGGCAAACCCCCATCTCTGTTGCCTCTGCATCCCTAATAATTAAATCAGTAGGAACACTCTTACTCACTGCAGCAGCAGTAGAAATACGTGACTAGACTATACTTAGAGGCCTTTGAATTAAACAAATCTCAAACGTATTCTGATACTAATCTTTTATGCTCTTCAGGTACACACATGCAAAAGTTGTTTTGGCTGTTCATTTTGGCCACTAACCTGAATTCACTTGGGTGGTGTTGAGCATATGGTCTTCACACAGCATTTAGTTCAGCCATGTAGGATCAAGGGTAGAATTAAATCTCCCCAAACACCAAACAGCTTTATGTGAAGAAATGTTCCTGCTCCATTATGGTATTTTGCTAATAAGGACTTATATGTAGCAAAGCTGTTGATACAAAACATTACCTTTAACCAGCATCTACAGTGGCAATTTAGGGAAGAATTCGTGAGAAATTTGGAGTAATGCTTCTCAACTCTTTTCATGATGGGATGTTGGCCAAGTGCCCATTGTGACTGCCACATCATGCACTAGCATTACTGATTGCTTTCATTATTTTAGAGCTCAGAGTCTAAGTGAAACAGGTCCCATTAGGGCCACCATCTTCAGAACAAAGGACAAACTATGTAATTCCACTGCACTTGTTCTTGCACATTCTTACAAGCTTGATCATTGAGACTGATAGAGGAAAACAGCAGCAATGATGAGTAGGTATCACTAAGAGGAGTAGCCTCTCAGGTTTGCAGCAGTCAGCACTGAGCAGATGTCTCCCATGCACTTAAAAAATCCTTCTCAGGGACCAGAGATGTACTCTGGTTATCAAGTGTAGTTTCCAATGCATCTTTGTCTCATCTCCCACAGCTTTCTACTCTCTTATTTTAGTTCTTTTGTGGTTAGCATATCTATATATCTTATATATATATAGGCATATATATATATCTCTTAACATATGTTGTATATATATCTTAATTTCTTTTGAAAAAGCAAGCAGTACATCCTTTAGTGGCAAATACATTCTAGTTTCAGGAATCACTTACATGAAACATTGTGTTTCTGCAGTGAAAGCATATTTTTTCAAAACTTGGGATTAAAAAAAATATTCTTACAAGATAGCTATCAAACTTGACATATTTCCACATAATTTTGTCAGTTGTATCTAGTCATATTTAAAGCCATAAATTAACTTAATACATTAGATGTGGTTTGGTTTATTTCCAGGGCAAGATGATTATTCAATCTACTGTAAACAGTGTGGTATTAAAAGGGCAAAGGAAACACCACCATGAGACATTTCAGAAATGTATATAAATACATTCAACAAAACCATGGGGTTTGTAAGGCATGAATTGGTTCTGTTAAGGAGCAGACTTTCTTAATTTCAATTTATTCTAAGGGCAGCTTGGAATTCTGTACTCTATATATGAAATACCTTTTGTTACATTTAACTGGCTTTCTTAAATTTCTCCTCATGAAGATAACCAGGACCAAATACCTTTTCCAACTAACACTTGAGAAATTTTGACTTTTCAAACACACCTTCTTGTCTTTCCTGTTTTTTCTGGCACCATTTTTCTTTGTGTCTTAAATTTGCAGATTAGTGACCTGGCAGGGAGGGGAAAGAAGAAAGGTGTCAGATAGCATCTTTGGAAGTCATCACAATGTTTCTTTTTTAGTGGGTGGGGTGGGAAATGAATTATATGAGAGGTTGCATTTTGTAGCATGACCCAATTAATTTACAGGAGTGCCAGTGAACTGGCACTGGTTGAACTAAGAGGTCTCTGCATGAGGTAGGACTGTATGGTTTCTTACCATCTCTCTTGTGATTGCTTGTACTTCTTTATTTTCTGTTTTTTTTCTTGTTGTTCCTCTGCTAGTGTGTAGCATGATGTGCTTAGCATTAAGGAGGAAACAGGAGGGAGAGAAAAAGCATGTGAAAGGCA